TATATGCACACACACATACACATACACACACACGCACACACACACACACACACACACACACACGCACACACACACATACTGAGGGTCGGGGACTTTGGGGTTGGTGGCGGGGTTCGGTGGTGGGGGTCGGTGGCGAGATCCGGTGGTGGGGGTGCCGGGGTCTGGGGGCGGGGCTGGTGGGGGTGGTCCAGTGGCGGGGGGGGGGGGGCTGCAGGAGCGGGTGGCGGGGGTCGGGAGCTGTGATGGGGGTCGGGGGTCGCCAGTCCCCGGTCTGGTGGTCGGCCACCCCCTGGCCGGGGATCTGGAGGCAAGAGCAGGGACCCGGTTCGCAGAAGGGGATCCCCAGATGACAACCCTGACCCTTACCCCCTTGGTCGCGGCCGACTTTGATTTGGATTGTCATAGGATGTCCCTTGGACTGAGCTGCGACTGACCAGGCAATGACAAGTTTTTTTTCAATTTGGAAAAAATCAAATTTGTGTTTGACTCATCTACGTGGGAGTGTTCTACAATGTTCAGTGCAACAAATACAAGATAACATGGTGGTGGTCCTCCCATTTTGCGCACATCTTGTTCATCAGACATTGCATGAAACACACCTGCACTAAAAAAATATAATGCTTTAAAAAGAGCATGGTTCATCGGATGAATTACACTCACAGAATAATTGGAGATACCACAAGCGAATCCCATATAGCCTAATTGGTTACAAGTAGAATAAGCAATAACCCTGGGAGGTAACTAACTGACGTGACTAACCCCTACAGACTTTGACAGGCCTCTACAAACTGAGCCTACGGCCTCCTAAAGGGGGCCTACTGAAGACTTCTACATGGCCTAGGGACAGGGGTCCATGCACAGTGGGTAATCAGGATTTGGTACTGGGACCGTGAATCCTTTCAATTGCAACCTGAGTATCAGACAAACGCACAACAACGATTACCTCGAACCATGGAACACCCCTGCATGTAGACAGTGGGGCAAACCTTAACTTATCCTGGGAGTTTATGTTGGTCCTGCACATACTACAGAGGGACATTGCAACCCAAAAAAAGTGCTCCCCAGTCTCAGGGGGGATGGCAATCCCTAGCAGCCCATGCATGCGTCCCTTCTCACCAAGCTTCTGTGGGGGGATATCAATACTGGGGAAATAGGTCAAGTACACACGTACTGGGCATGCGCCACCTGGACTGGCGCTGAGCGACAAAGAAAGGATCGGATACAGCACAGTAAAACACAGCCTCCAGGACAGCAGAAAACACACAAAGTAAGCCCGTAAATGCAGGACTTTGCAGACGGTACTAAAGTCAGAAAAACATGTGTAGAGTATGAGGTAGTAGTGGGGACACAATATTTGAACTGAACGAGTTGCAAGACACTCATACAGCTTGAGTGGCAATGAACAGAAGGGTTGTTACCAGGGTGTTTCCAGGATTGTTGTCGCTGATGTCATGTGCCATGATAGTAAAGCTCCGTGACATCAACTATGAGTATTCTGATTCTCTATCTTGAAGCATGGGACACTCTGGCTGCTGATACTGCACATACTACAGAGGGATATTGCACCCCAATAAAGAGTGTTCACAATTGTGAGGGGGCATCACAATCCCTAACAGACCATGCATGTATCCCTTCTCACCGGGCTTCTGCGAAGAAGACATAACAACTCTGAAGAAAAAGTGAAACCAAAAGTAAATGAGAAAATGAGAAATACAGGGGGGGAGAAGAGGGGACGATCAGAAGTTCGTATTGGGCCCAAATTTTAAAGATATGGACAGAAATCTTTCCGGCAAGAGTAAGACAACCAAGGACGAGGGAGGAAGTGCTTAGGCAACCGCTATTTTGTAATCCATGGTCAAAGAACCCCCAAGGAAAACCAAGGACACTAACAGCAAGGGATGCCAAGTGGGGAAATTGGTTGGAGCATGGAGTATGGCAAGTGAAACATCTATGGTCAGAAACCAATGGAAGATGGAAAACGGGTAGAGAACTGAGGGAAGAAATGAAGGGGTGTCACAGATTAATCGAAAATCTGAACGACATGCTAATCTCCATTTCGGAGGAATGGACGAGGATGTTGAGGGGTCCATACAAATGGGAATGGGGTGATTGGGCAATTTGGTCTCATAGTGTGGAACCACAGCAAGCTTTTCGCATTGGTCAGGAGGTAGGACCAGCTAAACAGTGGTTGGGAGCAGATATGTATACAATCTTGACCCCGGGCACCACAGTGAGTCAGCTAGATAAGGACTCGAGGGTGCCGATCGCTATCAAGAAAGACCTTTTGAGAAAGGTCAGAGTTATAGAGAATGAGGAATTCATAATATATGCTCCAACAATCAGCATTCAGAATCTAGAAGTGGATCCAGTAGAATGGGCGTGGAACATCAGGGGAAGCTCGTCACGAGTAGTCAAGAGAATTAACATACTTCAGTATACGACTAAATGGCGGTATCGGATCAGGAAAAGGTCGAATCAGATGGATGGGCCATTGGCGATAAGATGGGAGAAGAGGGTGGGCATACCAAGAGAACGGGTAGGCAAAATACCATGGTCAAGCCTACACAGTATCAGGTTGAGTAAGATCCGGAGTATGCAGTGGCTTATATTCCATGTGGCACTCCCAGTCAACGCTTGGTTATATGAAAAAAGGAGTAGGCAGCATAGGGATGATACAGAGCAAGACTGCACCATGTGCACTGAGAAAGTGCCTGAAACGCTGGTGCATTGCTTACTTCAATGTCCGGAAGCAGAGTACATCTGGGCAATGGCTGGTATACTTTGGGAGCGTACTACGAAGGTTCTCTTTCCAAGAAACAGAAGGCTTTTACTCATAGGAAGGGAAGTACCTAAGGGATGGCGGGAAAGTGAAAAATACATTTTCCAGCTATTGAGACAGTATACATTATGGATTATCTGGAAAATATTAGGGCTCAATGGCAGAGGACCAAAAGGCAAGCATCAGTCAACCCTGAAAGGGCGAAGGATATCTTCATGAAATTTCAGATTAAGGTATTGGCCCGAGGCAAAGTAGCAGAGGCTGATCTTTCATTGGTTTACGGAGGAGCGATGTGAGGTGTCCTTGGGGACCCAGAAGGTGACACAGGAACTAGGACTATCATAGGGTTAGGAGGGCGGGTGAGAAAGTGGAGGCCAGTGGATTTTATGTTTATGGAAATAAAAACTATAGTTGAGGGTTTAGGGTTTAGGGTTTGGATTTATAAAAAAAAAAAAAAAAAAAAAGGGCTCCAGGTACCAAATGAATAAGTCCCACTGCAGGCCATATGAGCGGACAGGCTATATGAGCTGACGGGCTAAGATGGTTCAGGGGACTCCTTGCAAAACATCAAAAGGAGGGTTTAGAGTTTAGGGTTTTGGGACCGTTTTGTAAACAGATGTAAGGAGAGACAAGATGGTTTTGAGGCATACGGACAGGTTTTCAAGGAGGGGTTACAAGGGTCAGCTTGAATAGATGCTCAGCTCTTTCATGATATATCTGGCAGGTTAGCTAACAGACCTGAGAGGAAAGAGAAAAGCAGGGCAAGCTGACAGTCAATCCTCCACTACGTTGGAGTAATCAATGCTGTTCAGGGGTTCTTCGGCCAGACGGAAGGAAGCGTGAGCGTGTTATTGTTGTAATATTTATTCAGACTTGCCGGTGGAATAGGAACCGGACTGACGCTCCCCAGAATGGAAAAGGAGCCAGGATCGTAAGGTCCTGTTATTATTAAAAAAAAAAAAAAAAAAAAAAAAAAAAGAGAGAGAGAGAGAGAAAATGAAAAATACACTTACTCGCTGATAAGGAGACTGGGTGTTGATATGGTCGACAATCATCTGCCGCATGTCTTCACGCTGCAGAGCACTTCCCGTATACTTCAGTACAACCATGTGCGGTGCAAACCTTGCAAATTCAGCAGCCCATCCTTCAGTCACACTGAGAGGACACAGCACCACTGCGTGTGACAAACATGCCAAATTGTCAATCGGACACCCATTTGGCTTATATGTCTGGCACTCCACATCTCGTAACATCTGTACATATATAAACAAGTCCTCCAGGTTTTACATCAGCTCATGGGTGCAACGAAGGTAAGTAACCTCATCCACAGGTGTCCAGAAAAGGACCAGAAAACTTTACAATTTATATGCAACGACAAACTCACATGCACAAGGATAAAATCAGAAACTTGCACTGAAAACAGCACTACCGAATACCTACCATCTTCTCTACTCTTCTACTCCACCTAATTACTGTGCTAATTACACAGTGAGCAATTACTGACCATGCGCTGCTGGCATGCGGGGACTATACCTAGACTTGAGTGAGGGCATGGGCCAGTATGCGGTGGAGGAGTTTGCGACACATGGAGGAGGTTATCATTGACGGTGGGGAAGATTCTTGCAATCACCACATTTTCCGTGTATACCTCACCCTCACTTGTTCAGTGCTGGTCCCTTGTAGTTAGGGGATGGGCTTTTGCTGTTATGATGTAACCTCAGAAAGACAATCCCGGTTTTCTGTTCTCTACAGGGACCCCTGCTTTGGGCACTGATGCATCCCCAGTGGTGCATTTTGGGGTAATGTTGACCCGGCTCGCTCCTCTACATGTGTTTTAAACCGCAAGTACACGGCCCCAGCCTTGCAGAAAGTTTTTGTCGCCACAAGCAAACTCGGAGGGGCTGCGCGGCGCGGGGCACCGTTCAAAAAAAAAAAATGGCGGCCTTCGAAGTGGTGTGGGTTTCATGCTGACACCCGCTGGCCGATGTATGGTGTACTGGTACTTTAAATACTCTCCCCGCCGTGTCCACCAATAAATAGAACAAGAAGCAACCAAATTACACCAACAAAATGGCAATACCAAGTGGCAGCTTCAAACCCTTGGGTACTAATTACCCTCCTTTCTTCTGTGCTCTGTCTCCCATTTGTCATTTGCTGTTTCTCCAATAACACTAGCACGGTGGTGGTTCCTGATGTCATCTGCATTCCAATGTCATCTGATTATTTTTCATTTCAATTATGCTGATACCATCTTTGTCTAATGCTTGACTTGGCAGTGCAGCTTCTTTCATTCATCACATACATATTACACTTTGCTTTCCATACACATTTCCTAAATCTTCCTTCATTGGCAACCAGAGTGGCTGGGAACATCCAACATGGATCCATGTTTGCTCGTTGGTCCAATCATCCAACAATAGTCCAACGGCCAACATTGTTGGACAATGATTCGACCAACCAAGAACAATCCAAGACGGATGGTCAATCCAATATGTTTAAACCGCCAGTATGCACCCCCCCCCAACCCCCCCTCAACCCACCCCACCCCCCCCAGATGGTTGGACCGACCCAAGAGAACCCAAGATGGTTGGTTGAACCCAAGATGGTTGGTCCAACCATCCAACCGTGCTGGATGGTTGGACCAATCGAAGAGAATTCATGATGGCTAGTCCAACCATCCAACCACGGTTACCAACGAAGAGAACCTGGGGTGGCTGATCCTGCCATCCTACATGGTATGATTCGACCGATCAGAGAAAGCCAATGATGACTGCTCCAGCAATGCAGCATGGTCGCATGATTGGAGCAACCATCTCGGATTCTCTTCGTTTGGGATGAACCCAAGAGAACCCAAGATGATTGGTCCAGCCATCCAGCCAGCCATGCTGGATGATGGACCAATTGAAGAGAATTCAAAAAGGTAAGTCCAACCATTCAACCATGGTTACCAACCAAAGAGGACCTGGGGTGGTTGATCCCGCCATCCAACATGGTTGTATGGTTTTACTGACCACAGAAAGTCCAAGGTGATTGGTCCAGCAATGCATCACATTTGCATCATTGGAGCAGCCACCTTGGATTTTCTCTGTCGGACCAACCATGGTTGGATGGATGCATCGACCAAAGAGAATCCAAAATGGTTGCTCCAACCATCCAGCATGGTTGGCAGAGCCAAAAAGAAAATCCGAGATGGTTGGTCTTACCGTCCAACCATGGTCCCAACCATGGTTCTAACATGGTCAGATCAACCAAAGCGAATCCAAGACCATAGAACATAGGATTCTCTTTGTAAGGATGTCTGATTCATCGATGTCTTCGGCATTCAAACAAGTACCCTATTTTTTTGCAATGTTTAACAGGACCTTAGGGTCCTGGGCCCCTTTTGTTCTGTTGAGATTCAGTTCGCCGGCAAGTCATAATGTTCACCACAACATTCAAACAAGTACTTACAAAAAGGTCCAGGCAAATTTTTCTGAGCATGAAGGTAAGCAAGTAACGCAATGGACTGAAGTGTTTTTCCAAGTCCCATCTGCAAAAACAAATGCCAGAAAGATCAGAACAGGGCTTTCACTCACTCGAAGGAGTCAAAACACTGCATTTTCAAAATGTCAAAAGAAGAGACTGAACCACTGAAAAGGGAAGTTGAAGAACTAGAAAGGTACAAGTGTGAGGATCAGCACACATCAAAGTCTGCGAAATGTGTTTTCTCTGAGAAGTCTTTGCCTTTTGATGTGTTCTGCGGCTCTGCCTGACACTTTGGTGCCTGCGTTTTGACTTGCCAGAGCTTGTATGTGTGTCATTCTGCTACGACGCCGTTGTGTATTTTTGAGTTCAAACCCTTGCGCACATGATGTTGTGCTGAGGGCTCAAGAGGGCCATAAACTCTAAGCATCTACAGATACAGGGGTGGGAGGGAGATTGGACAGAAGTCAGAGTTAGGTACGATGGACAGGGACAGGTAGGTGAATTTGTAGGGACCCGCTAACAATTTTTCACCAAATTGGAGAGGGCTAGTGTCTGGCAGGTTTAGTCAGGTATAATGATGGTACGGACTGAATGTAGCATAGCTTAGGGGGTGATGCTGATGTGGCAAGATGAGGAGGGACATGACATCGGAGTATTCTTGTGCTCTGCTTCCTAAACCCTAAACCCTTAACCCTAAACCCTAAATTATTTTTCTTCATCTTCTCTCTCTTCTCTCTCTTCTCTCTCCCTCCTATTCCCATTTCTAGAGTTGCAGCTCATGTGCTTGTCTAAAATTTGAGTCAAACACAGGCCCACAGGGTAAATGTTACATTGAGTGGAAACAATCAAACTGATAACCCACTCGAGAGCATGCCTAAATCCACCGCACTGTCATATGTCCAAATGAGAGAGAGGGCATGCTGGAAAGCAAAGGACAAGCCTATGGGAAAGAGTGTGAAAAAGAATACGGTGGAAAACTCAATCGAGTGTACATGCCAAGGGAATACATGCACAATAAAACCAGAAGAGAATGTGGGCAGAGAATCAACTCACACATGAGCAGGGAGGAGACATAGACGGCCTCCCCGCTTGATACTTAACTTCGAGGGAACAGTCTTTACCGGTTCAACAACTCCTTCCTACCCCTCACCCAATTGAACATGAAAGTAGAATGGACCAGGTTCCTCCAAAAATGACAAGCAGCAAGCTATGAGGACAGACACCAATGGTTCCTTGATAGCTTCTGGACACAAGATCAATTGCAGAAGAATCAAGGGCTGTTAACAAAGCCAGGGCAAAGAGAAAGGAGGAGATCGAACTGACCATACGGGAGGAGATCGAACTGACCATACGGGTAGCAGAACCCATCCTAATAGCTGACCCAACCGGTACTTTCTACTATAACCTCCTCTGCAATGCGAAAGAAGAACTGGCGGACTGGCATAAATGGGAGTTGAGAGAATTACAGATCCTTAATGAAAAAACGTGTCCTTTACAAAAATCATATCGAACGCCAGGAACAATACGATAGAAGCCCCCAATGCATACTCAGTCAATAGGCAAGGGAGCATGGCAAAGAATGCTGAATTATCTAGAGAAAAATGCACACACCCCTTCGCACGCCAATGATCTACACAAACCCCCGAACTCCACACCCCTATCAACCCTCCAGGAACTCCACATAGCCATAGAGATGATGAGATATGACAAAGCACCCGGGACTGAGGATATGACAAAAGAATTCTAGGCCCACTTTTGGCATCTGCTAGGGGGAGGACTTCGAGGCATACTGTATGTGAGAGGCACAGTAAGAGGGGAGCTGCAAGAAAAAGTAAAATGGGAGGCCTCCCAAAGATAGCTGAGGTAATAATCAAGAAGGCGATATAATACATGTATTTTGTTTAACATTGCTAAGTGTTTCATTGTTGGGTTGGCTCATCTCAAGTGTGTCGCTTTGCTTCTATAATGGTGGATTGGCTCATCGTAAGCATGCTTCATAGTCTGCAATAGAGGTAAAGTTGCTGTGATTTTGGATCTACTCATCTGGGTAGAACAGGGGATGCTCTGTGTGTGTGTGTGTGTGTGTGTGTGTGTGTGTGTGTGTGTGTGTGTGTGTGTGTGTGTGTTTAGATTTTTCCCACAACAGCCCCAATTCCACCCAGGTGAATAGATTCAGAATCAAAGCAGTCTTTGTCCTATTGCAGACAACGAGAGCATTTGAGATGTCCAACATATTAAAGCAATTTTATAATTAGACAGTTTTTTGGTTGTCCTTGGGGTACCCCTTTCATTGTTCTTGCAGCTCCCCTTTTACTGTGCCTCTTACGCACAAGGCTGCCCACGTTGATTGTGGTTGAGCGGCAGCTGCCCACATCCCCGTGTGTCTTCACGGCCCACTTGCAAGTTATTTCAGGAGGCAGAGTAAAAGGGAAGGTATGCTCCTGTGCATCTCTTCAGAGCTTCATACTCCTGTTCCTTTCACTTCAGATCTTCAGCTTATACAGTCTTTGGGTCCGTCCTTCATCTCCATACTTCCGTTCATTTCATTTCTGATCTTCATATCGTCTATTCTCTTAATGATGCTCATTCGTATGTATTTGTTAGTAGTACAAAGGGAGTGGAGGTGTCGCATACCATAACGGTACAGACCAGAACAAGAACCGGCCTCTCTCGCATAGTATAAGATGGCGCAGTGGAAGGCTAAAATACCAATAATCAGAACAATCAATGTCGCAATGCAGATCAACCATACATCATCATCATCCCATGGTGTGAAGSGGCCTGGCGCTCACACAGGAAGAATGCACCAGTCCCCAACCATACACAGACGAAGAGGAGGGGGGTTAGATGAAGAAGAGGGGGAAGATGGGAATGTCGTCAACACCAAGTCTTCGGTACAGGTCCCAAATAATCCCTCGTCCAATGTCTCAATCCCATGTCGAGTCTGAATCCAAATGTCGTCAAGTCCCAAAGTCACCAATCTCTCTCTCTCTCTCTCTCTCTCTCTCTCTCTCTCTCTCTCTCTCTCTCTCTCTCTCTCTCTC